TATTTTGAGCATGCAAATAAACCAGGAAGATGGTTATCCCATAAACTTAAAAAAGTGAAAGAAAAGAGATTGATACACCAACTAATGGATGAGAAAGACGTCTTACAACATGAGATAGATAAGAAAAAAGATATCATTTACAACTATTTTCAAAGATTATATAAAAAGGAGGAAGTTAATGAAGATAAAATAAGAACTTATTTAGAGGAGACGAATGACTTAATTGGAGAGGAATGGATAGAGTTATTGAATAAAGATATTACATGGTCTGAATTGAAGTCAGCAACGGAGAATCAAAGTAATAACAAATCTCCAGGACCAGATGGGATTCCGGCAGAACTATATAAAGCAATAATGGAACTAGTAGGACCACTGATGCTGGAAGTGTTTAATGAGGTACTTCTGGCAGCCAAGATGCCGGACTCATGGAGGGGGGCGCTGATTTCGCTAATCCCGAAGGAGGATGCAGATCATAGATACATCAACAACTATAGACCGATTTCACTTTTAAATGCCGATTATAAATTATTTACTTCTATCATAGCTAATAGAGTAAAACAAGCTTTAAATCCACATATCCACGAAGATCAAAATGGGTTTCTTCCGTCCCGACAAATAAAGAACAATTTAAGAACCGTTATCGATGTCCTAGAATATTATGAAGCCCACCCGGAGAAACAATCTGCACTCATGTTTTTAGATGCTGAGAAAGTATTTGACAACTTAAATTGACACTTTTTAATTAAAAAAATTTACAATATGAGTCTTGGCACCAAATTTGAAAACATAACAACAATTTACAACACACAACAGGCTAATATACTAATCAATGGCGAACAAACAGGTCCAATAAATATAGAAAAAGGTGTCAGACAGGGCTGCCCTCTCTCACCTCTTCTTTTCATTTTTGCCCTAGAATCACTCTTAACACGGGTTAGACAAAATTCTGAAATTAGAGGAGTGAGGGTCAAATCAGAAGAATATAAACTACAAGCGTTTGCTGACGATATGGTTTTCTTTTTGGAGGAACCCATGGAAAAAGGATATAATCTAATAAAAGAATTAGAACGATTTGGCGCAGTGGCAGGATTAAAAATTAATAGAAAAAAGACGAAATTAATGACCAAAAACTTAACAGAAAACCAGAAGGAAGAATTAGAAGCAATGATGGGGATACAGGTAACAAAAAGGGCCAAATATTTAGGAATATGGTTAACACCACAAGGTAAATCACTCAAAGAGAACAATTATGATAAACTACTTCAACAAACAAAGAAAGATTTAGAATCCTGGAATAAGCTGCAGCTCTCCTTATTGGGCAGGATTGCCTCGATTAAAATGAACGTATTACCAAAATTTATTTATTCCAGACAATTCCAATTAAGTTGCCAAAATTTTTTTTTGAAGAATTAAATAAGATCACACTTAAATTTATTTGACAGGGGAAAAAACCCAGGATCAATGTAAAGGCCTTACAAGATGCGAAAAGTAGAGGAGGTCTAGCTCTTCCAAATTGGGAATTATATTATTCGGCAGCTATCCTATTATGGTTAAAAGACTGGGTGAACTTACTTAATAAAAGAATTTTAGCATTAGAAGGGCATGACCTCCAGAGAGGGTGGCATGCCTTCTTATGGGAAGTGGGGAAACCCAAGCAATCTTACTTTCATAGACACCTCATTAGGGACTCATTATTAATTAATTGGAAAAAAATATGCAAAAAACACTATCTAAAAATTCCGATCTGGCTATCAACAATGGAGGCAATGGTACACCCCAATAATTTGGACATAACAAAAATGATTAAATATAAAGATTTATTAGATCCGCAAGGAAAATTAAAAACTCGACAAGAATTACAGGAACAGGGATTTAAAACTGATCAGTGGTTATATATACAAATCCATAGCAGATACAAACAAGATATAAAAGACTTTGGAATTTATAACAAACTGCAGTATTTAGATAAAATTTTACTAGGATCAAACAAAAAGAACATATCCAAATTCTATAAATACTTACTGGAAGTAGAATTAGAACAAGAGATAGTCAAAGGGAACATGATAGCCTGGAGCAGGAATGTCGGAAGAAGTATTACATTATCAGAATGGGAAAAGATTTGGAACAGAAATATTAAGATTACAAAATCGGCAGCATATAAAGAAAATACATACAAAATGTTTTATAGATGGCACTTGCCCCCTTCGAGGTTGGCGAAAATGAACCCAAACACGAGTCCAAAATGCTGGAAATGTAAAAGCGTAGAAGGAACCTACTTTCATATGTGGTGGTCTTGCAAAGAAACCCAGAAATATTGGCAAAAAATCAGAAAATGGTTGGAGGAGATAACCAAAGAACAAATCGAATACAAACCAGAGTTCTTCCTACTAGGGATCTCCGATAAACATTTACCCAAAAAGATGAAATATGGAACAATTCATATCCTAACTGCGGCCAGATTAGCGTTCGCCCAGTGTTGGAAATCACCCTATACACCTACAGAACAAATGGTCATCCAGAAAATATGTGATTGTGCAGAAATGGATAAATTAACTATAGCACTTAAAAACAAAGAGCCTTCAACATTTTACAATAATTGGAACTCTTGGTATAATTGGTTAGTCCAGAGATAAACTGCTTAATGGACAATGGGTAATTTAAGCATAGATATCGATAAGATGTGTGTATTCAAATTAAGGTAGGAGAATTGGATCTTGCAGACTGTCAAAAAGGATATTGTCTGTTTTTAAACGTATCTTTTTCTTTTTTTTCTCTCTTTCTTTGTTTCTTTGTTTCTTTTACATCTCTTCTTCTCTTCTCTTTCCAGTACGTAAGACCGAGTGTTCTTTTTTTGTTTTTTTCCCTTTTGTGTATGAAATGTCGATATGTTTCTAATTGTAAATTTAATAAAATTTATAAAAAAAAAAGAATTGTTGGAGTCAAAATTGTTGTTTACCTTGAAAGAGGCTTATCTTTGCTGGCGTTCTTTCCATGGACTTTTCTCGGTTATTTTCCTGGAGTTTATAATTAGTTATCTCGGCTTGCTTCGGAACTCTCATCAATGTGGTTTGTTTTGGTTTTCTGTTTGCCTCATTATTTACTTTTGTGACTTTAAACTGTGCCTAATAAAACGGTGAAGTTAAGTTGAAGGCTTTACCGGACTTTAATATATGTTTTGGGTTATGTTGAGAGACTATGGGCCATCACAGTTGGTTTGAAAGAAGGGGTCAAAGAAGCCATTTACATTTAAGATTGAACAGCCCTCTCAACAGAGTGCCCTAAGGGCACAGATAAACCTCCAAGTGGCCTTAACCATTCTCAGATTGTTAATAACTGCAAAGAATATAAATCTTTCCATTTTTCACCATTCAGTTCATAACTGAAGAAGCTTCTTAGATAAGAAGTGAAATGAAGCATCTTCAAGAAAAAAGTCTAGCTGCTTTTGAAAAAAGTACCAATGGGACAGCCATGACCCGAATGACAGAGTTTCCAATAGATATCCACATATTCACAACTAGATGTTTTTCTGAGTGTCATCAGTGCTGCAAATCAGGGCATTATTTTCCCAGGATGTTCGTGTAGGTGTTAAAAGGTAGAGAAAAAGATAAAACCAAGACAGCCCAGAGTGACTGGGAGACATATAACAGAGATGCTAATAAGATTTTTAAATAATCCTCCCACCACCAACCCTGAATTTTTGAGGAAACAATGGACTTTAAAAAAAATGAGATTGAGCAAATGGTTTGTTCTTCTACTGCCTAGCTCTTAGCAATTTCTGTATTTTTCCCTGTTGCATTTGTAGAAAAGGTTGAAACTTGTGTCAGTTGAACATGTAGCAGTTACATTAGCATACAATTTGTAATTTTTGTAATTTAGCATTGTAAAATTAGAGGTTTTTATGACACTGCATTGTTTTTTTAACCTGTTTGCTCAATTCACAATTTGGTGTATGTCGAAGAGAAAGCTACCCAACTCCATAACATCAGTGCTAATGAATGTGGGGTTTATATTTATTGTAATAGTTTCTCCTGTTGGTATGGATGTGGTTTTCTTTTTGGTAATTTCTTGATTAGGGTATGGTTTTATTCTTGATTGTTTGGTATTAATCTCTAATCTGTGTGATGAGTTGACTGCTGTAGAGCACGTAGTCTGGTCTTTTTGTTTCCTTCTTATCTTTTTATTGTCTCTTGAATGGTGTGTAAATGTGGTTTATTTCTATGTGTCTGTTGATGACCGATTTGTCTGGCAGGTTTCCAGAATTCCCTAGTGACATGGGAAGTTATTATTTTTTTTGTCTGTCTAGGATGTTCACAAAGCAGCAACTGGGTACAACAACAGTTCTACAGGTAGTTATCTTCTTGGGGTATTTATGATCCGAATTCAAGTTCCAACACTCATGCTTCCCTCCAGTCACATGATCATTCTTTGGGCATTCAGCAACTGGGCTGCATTTAGGTTGTTTGCAGCATAATGCAGCCACATGACTGAGTTTTAAACGATAGTTTTGCCATAAACAGTTTACTTCTAGTTTTTGGAAAAACTGTTCTTATAGTGAACAATTGGTTTTGTTAACGACTATGGTGTTTATTTAATTACCACATTGTCCATTTAATGACCACTGCAAACAAGGTTATAAAATTGGATCAGTCATGAAAATTAGAAATGGTTCAACTATGAAACTGAGCATTCTAAACTAAGCTACTCCACACATGCAGATACATATGCACCCCTCTTTTTGCCTGGAAATCCCTGGTGGTCTCCCATCCAAGTAGTGATGTGGTCTAACTTTAATTTCCTGTAAAACAAGGTAAGGTACTTGATGAGATACCTGGAGAAAAATAAGTACAATTACTAATTTAATTATCTAATGACGAGAATGATTAACGAGTTTGCTTTTAAAAAGTTCTCAAATTCAAACCTTGGAAGATCTAAAATAACTTCTACATAAAAATTGTTTTAACTGCTCTGCTCCCTCCATCTTTTTTTTTTCTTTTAGAGACTTCTCATGGGAATTGGATCCTGCTTTGAATGGAGACAGGCATTACAATGTTTTTACCCCTGAACTTTATCCCAGCTTAGAAGATATTATGGGAATTGTTACTTCAGGGATTGATGAAGATATAGATTCAGCAGTGTTATTTGGAACTTTGCGAGGAAGTGTGGTTGGTTTACGATATTATGATGGTGTGGTAAGTTCAGAATGATGAAAACTGGTGATACGAACCCTGTGTTTAAAATTAATATTTTGAAATACTGGATCAATTCATGGACTAGACATAGCTATGGTGTGTTTTGCCAAATGTCAGGGCTGTGATCAGGTGCTCAGACAATTCATTCTTTTGGATTCAGAGACAATGAGCAGTCCAATAAATTTTAAGCTTGATTGTGGGCTAAACGCATATCATGAATAACATATATGCAAAGCAAAGATGACGCTAAGGCTGCCAGGAGCTCCTTAATAACAGCAGCAGATATACCCCACGAGCAGCTCTAGAGGCCTCCGTGAGTCCCATTTTTTCCCCTCCCCGTTTTCAACCCGCAGAGGCCTCTGGAGGCCAAAAAAAGGGTCGTTTTTGGCCTGCAGAGTGTTTTTGGATGCAGGGCAGGGCAAAAATGGGATGCGCAGAGGCAAACAATTTTTTTCTTGTTTTCCTTCTCTAAACCTAGATGCGTCTTATGGTCCAGTGTGTCTTATAGTCTGAAAAATACGGTAATTAAGCACTGCTTCTCCAGTATCAGTAATCCCATGGAGTAAGATAAGCTTGAAAGGTCCTGTTTGTGATTCCACAAATTAGATTGGATGGCAAAGAATAGCCAAAAGTAGGGCCTTTTGGATAGACTCTATTATTTAAAGATAAAACTGTTTTGGTTAAACCTGTTTCAGAATAGTTTAGTAGCCTTTGTGACTGGTTTAATTGCAAATGTTAATTTTACAGGTCAATAATGATGAAATGGTGGCTCTTCAGCGAGAACCTAATAATCCATATGATAAGAATGCTGTAAAAGTAAACAATATGAATGGTGATCAAGTAGGCCACATAAAAAAAGAACTGGCAGCTTGCTTGGCTTATATCATGGACAACAAATTGGCTGTTGTGGAAGGGTAAGAATTCTGAATAATATTTCCCCCCAAAATAAAATAATGTTCTTGATCAGCAATTGAGTAGTTAAACATGGCAAAACAGAAGTTTGCTATTGTTTCAGTAATGGAAGCCCTCTTATTGCATCTTTAAGCTAATTGCTAGTTTAAACACATATATTTATATTTAGTGTAGTGTCTAAAAGAGGACTAAAATTTCAGTTTATACTGTCTGTCATCAATGGAGATTCTCAATCTTTCAGGTCATGGTTGTATCAAAGGGGTTTTTTCAAAAGGCAATTGGGCTATATTTTTCCCTTGAGGAAGATGACACATGTAACTTCTCCAAGAAGCTTCATGAGTTCTAACTAGATGGGTGGTGGTAGATGGAAAGATTATTTACAGTCATCTGGTCTTCATCCACATCCATCTGGTGGTTAGCACTCAGAGAGCACTTGAGGGTTTATCTGTGCCCTCAGAGTCACCTGAATCTAAATGCAAATAGGTGTGGAATCTTCTTGGAACTGCTGAAAGGATTGTGTTGTAGGCAGGAGATCAATAGCATGGGAGGGATGCAATACCGATACCACCCACCCTTCTCAGATACCACCTCCGTCCATTCAGCAATTCCAAGAAGATTCCACACCCATTTGCACTCAGATTCTGGTGACCCTGAAGACACATAAACACATCCTCAAGTGGCCTCAGTGTCTCTCCCAGAGAATGCTAAAGACCAAGTGACTTAAGAAATATAATCCTTCCATTCCTCCTCCCATCCCCCCTTTAGAACTGATGAAGATTTTTTGATGAGAAACAGAACATCTTTCTCAAGGAAAAAACTAGTTCAGTTGCCTTTTAACAAACCACCTTTGAGACATGCTAGCTGTTGGTTTATAGCACTATTTTGTACATGTTTACTATTATGTGTGTGTTTGTATGATGTACATATGCTAAAATGTGATCATGTGGCATAAAATATATCAATGGCATTTTGATTTTATATAAAATACTTTATAGGTAGATTTATTTCCATTGTTTGCTGTCATTTGTTGATTTTTGCGTTTCATTATTTTGGTCACTGACTTTTCTGTCCTTTTGAAAGAAAGGTGTAAGTTGAGTACTTTGAATAGAAATATACTTTGTATAGAAATATAGTTGTGTTTTAATTAACTAAATTTGTTTATTAGTGTGTATTTTGTTGAGATGATGTATATAGTACTCTTTCCTCCATTTTGCATGGACATTTGTTATTTTTTTTAAAAATTCTCAATTTTTGTAATATTAGTTTTCCCTTTTCTCTGCTAATTCCTTTCTCATTATTACTAGGTTTTTTTACACTATCCAGGAAATATTTGCTGAAATTGTATAATATTTATTTTTGGGAAACAGCCTTAAATATCTGGATTCCAATTGCCAGCCAGTAATTAAGCTTTTGTGCAAGTCACTATTTCTCAACCTGTTCCATTATACTTGAAATAATAAAGCAGCAAAAGGGGAGATAAATATGTTTTTTTAGAGCTGTGTAAATCCTTTGGAAGAAATGTTAATATGCTGCTTTAACAGTTTAATAAGTTTTGTAAGTGCTTCCACATACCTGCTGTACCTCCTTTGAATGATTAGCACTGTCCTAATGTATGTTTTTCTGAGCTCTTTCTATAAAGGGAAATACAAATACGTAATATAATATCATTGCTATTTTTTTTTCTCTTAGGGTTGTTCCTCATGGAGCAGATAATGCTTTCACTATGCCGGTGCAATTGAGCTTTTGGGGAAAAGAAGAAAATAAGCAAGTGCTTCTAGAAAGACTAAAAATGCATGGATTAAAGTTAGCACCTCCAGGAAAATGTAAGTTAAAACTTACGTTATTATTAATCAAGATATGAAGGACTTTCTCATGTAAATAAAAAAAAAGCTGAATATAACTTCCAAACATTTACTAGTTCTCATCAATGGCGTTTAGTTTCAGGGTTTGGTTTTGAGACTGGCAGGACATCTGGCAGAGGTAGAACACGTTACAATGCTCCAAGCCATGGTGCTATCCAAATGACAACTGAACAGGTATCACTACTCATGCTTGTTATAAGAATAGCAATGGCACTTAGAGTTATATGCTGCTTTATAGTGCTTTACAGCAGTCTCTAAGCGGTTTACAGAGTCAGCGTATTGTCCCTTAGAATTTGAGTTCTCATTTTATCAACTTCAGAAGGATGGAAGGCTGAGTTAAATGTGAGCCACTCAGGATCGAACTTGGGGCAGTGGGCAGAGCCAGGCTGCAATACTGCATTCTAACCACTACCCCATCACAGTCTTGGAGCCAAGCAACTTTTGGCTCTGAGTTACTGCATAGGTGGCTTTATAGCGTTGTGTGCTTAGAAGAAGAAGTAGGACAGGGAATGTCAAGTCTGCTGGGTGCAATATCATTTCCTTTTCTTTGACCAATGAAAAGCATGGAATGGTCACACTGCATTGCTCTGCCTCTGTCTGAAGAAAACAATGTTGTCAAGTCAGTCAGCAAGTGAATAGTGTTAGGTTGAGGATGGTCGGGTTTACTTTGTTCTGATAAGGAACATTGTGACCCCCAATAATGTTTGTGTCCATCCACCTTGCCTTTGGCTTGGAAAAATTCCCCAGTAGATTTGAAATTACAGTTTCTAGTATGATAAAACTGCCCATTTTAACTTTAATTTACAATTTTAATATTTTCCTTTCCTCTGTCTCACTTTACCACGCAAAGTGAAATAGCAGTGTGTAATATAGACCTGTTAATTTGCGGTTTAAATGCTTCTTTAAAACATAAAAGTGTTGAAGAATGTGTTTGATGAGGACATTTTATTGTGTGAAGTAATAATATAAACTACATACTGTAAGGCTATTTGTATATTATCCTATATTTTAGCTTAAAACCGAATTTGACAAACTTTTTGAAGACTTGAAAGAAGATAATAAGACCTGTGAAATGGAAGCAGCAAAGGTAATTTGAATAAATCACCGTGGTTAATGCTATATTGAATACATGACTTTGGGGAAGGAGTGCCTTCTGGTCAGTTTTGACTGCTAGCAACAGCCTAGATGAGTGCCTGTATTTTCTTGGCAAGATTTTTGGAGATGATTTGCCACTGCTTTATTCCTAGGACTGAGAGAAGTGGCTGGCCCATTACCTTGTTGCCAATGAATGAAATGATTAATAATTAATTAGTTGTAAATAAGTAAGTCAGATAAAAAGGCAGAAAATAACAGTGAAAAAATGAACAGCTGCAAGTTGTAGCTTTTGCTCTGAAAAAAATATTTAAAATGGAATCTTTGTTTTCTAGGCTGTTTTGACTCCTTTACTGCCACACCAGAAGCAAGCTTTAGCTTGGATGATTTTGCGAGAAAACAATAACGATCTTCCTCCATTTTGGGAAGAACGAAATAACTTCTTCTACAATACAATTATACATTTTGCTGAAAGAAATAGACCAGAAAACGTGCTCGGAGGAATATTGGCAGATGATATGGGACTGGTAATTCTTTTGCATGAGGGTGTGGCCAATTATCCGTCAAGAACACTTTGATTTGGATTCTTAGATGTACAGGGGTTGGACTCAGAGATCTAAAAAGCTGATTCCAACTCTGCTTCTATGAAAAAAAATGCTAACCAATTGTTTAATGTATTTTAGGGCAAAACACTTACTATGATTGCAGTAATTCTTACCAACTTCCATAATGGGAAGCCTCTTCCTCTTGAAAAGAAAATAAATCAAATGGAAAAGGTGAGATATTTATTGTCTATTGTTCTGTTAATAATTTAAGTCAAAAATAATCCAGATATTCAAAGCAAGAGGAACAACAGTATTCAGATATCAAGTGTGAGGTATTTTTCATTTTTAGTAACAAGGTTTGGCAATATTAATATAATTTATTTGACCTGTGAACTGTTTGGACTTTTTTTGTAGTCTCCCATTAATGTTTTGTGGCTGACATTTTAAACCATAGAAAATTACCAGGTAAATACTGAAATAAATCAGCACAGAAATGTTATTTTCGTCAGCAAAATATTTGGCAGATTTTTAGTGTGAGGCATTTTCATAGATACATCTCTTCTGCCCAGGTTAACAGAAGTTATACTTTATGAAGCTTTTATGCTTTGTGCCACTTGTTTAAAATACATTTCATGTATTTTTAAAAATAACTAGTAATTATATGTAGAATTTAAGTTATATTAACTGGTTTTATGACATTTTTTTGCTTCTGTTTTACCCTTTAGAAACATATTCCTACTGCACAAAAGAACTTACAAGGTAATTTGTAATGCTATATATTTGTAATATATACTGATCTGAGAACATTTATTCTCCCTCGAGCCGCTCGGAGCATCCAGACTGTGGGATGTGCTCCTGAGTCCTCTTCTTTCAGGCTGAGCTTTAGACGAGGAAACGCTCCGCCCCTCCCACGTGGCATCGCGCAGCGTCTCCCCAGTCTTTTGCTCAGCCTCGAAGAATCAGGCTGCGTTTCAAAGAGCTCCTTGGCTGTTTTCACTGAATCCTCCATTTCTCCGTCCCAATAAGGTTTGCCTTCCTTCCTCCTCCTGCGCAAAGGGTCCGGACTCAAGAAAAATTTTTTCCTGTCCTCGGGGCGAAGTTGCGGGCTCGCAGCGCTTTTAGCGCAACGCGCCCCCCCCCTTATCAGATCTCGTCGCTGCCTTCGCGTTGCCCGTGGCACGCGCTCCTTCGCTGGATTCCCCCCCACCCTAAACGCCGACCGGGAGGGCTATCACCCCTAGGGCTCTAGGCGCGCCGAGCTGACCGGCCAAGCCCTCCTTTCCTTTCCGTCCCGAAGGTGTCCCGGCAGTTCAGCTCGCGGCCGCCATTTTGGCTCCGCCTCGTGATCGGGCGCCAAAAATTTTTTTTTTTTCTCTAATATTCAGCTGCGGTGAATTGGAACTCCAGGCCTAGGGTTAAAGCCTAGCTGCCCATTTTGAACTGCCTGGCTAGTCTTGGTTAGTGCTTGTTGGCCTCCCGCAGCCCTTTCGGGGCGAAGTTGCAGCCCCCCCCCCTCCGGTTTTTCTTCTATTGTCTGGAGGCTGGCTGCCAGAGGCCTCCTCTTCAATTCTAGGCCTCAGGCGTTATTCGACTGATTCGGCCGGTACTGAGAGATATACATTCAAAAAAAAAAAAAGAAAGAAAAAATAACTATAATAGAATATATATTTGATTCAAATACAAAAGGAATAATAACAAAAAAAGAAATAATTTTTTGGTACAGAATTTTTTTTCTCCTAGATATTAAATATATCGGAGTACCTGGATATTCAGCTGATATAAAGAAAATAAAAATAACTAAAAAAAGGACAAAAACAGGATTACATATCTAAATATATATATTTTTCTGTTATCTCTGTACAAGTAAAATTCCAAAAGGGGGAGCGGGCCAGCCTCATCCTCACCCGGCCTTATCCAGGCCTGATCTGGGCGAGCCAACCGCCCTTATTAATCTCTATTATTCAATATGGCAGACGACAATTCCTCTAAACGTCCTTCATTGAAGGCTAAGGCAAAGTCCCACTACTTGCGCAGGCAGGACAAGGAACCTAAGGGCTCTAGAAAGGACAAGGAACCTTCCAAGGCCTCTCAACGTGACGCCTTAAGGCGCCACAAGGCGTTAGAAAAAGAGTTCGACAGGCGTTCAAGGGAGTCCCGCTCGGAGCCGTCTCTACCTCCTCCTCCACCCCCTACCTCTATTCAACCTCCCCCCCCAGGTCTTTCTTCCCTACCTAGGCGCAGTTCGCCCCAGGGTCTCCCGACCCCCGGTCCTACGATTAGTCTGACACCTGAAGCCACTTTTACACCCACGGCTGCTGGTCTGCGCCAGGATGAACCTTCTACATCTGAGGTTCCACCTCACATCAGGGCTTGGATGGAATCAGCCATCCGCCAGAGTGTTATAGAGGAACTACAGCACATGTCCAGATCAGGCTTCTCTCCTCGAGTCTCCGAGCACGACTCCTTGTCTATCAGATCCCTTCCACAACCGGTCCCCCCGGTTGATCAGGTACTCTCTCAGAGGGACAGCCCTCCTCCGGTTGGGGCCCAGGTTGAGGAGGAAGGGGACTTTGGGGACTTCGGGGAGGAGGATGAGGGTTCCCAGATGGGATCCTCCCGCTACAGTGAACCTCCCTTAGAGACTGACATCATGGAGGGGGAGATGTCCGAGGACGAGGGCACTTCTCCTGACCAACCCACCTTTGGGGGGCTCTTCAAACCGCACATGTTCAAGTCCCTCCTCCTTAAGGCCAAGAATGTCTCGGGCCTTCTTTCCCAGGCCCCTGCTGACCTCCCCCCCATCCCAGAGGGCCCAGAAGACTCCATTTTCACCCAACCAGTGGTTGAAGCGGAGGTCATCCCATCCCCCCCCCATATTCGTGGATCTGGTAGCGAAGCAACTATCCTCCACAGGGACCCCTCCCACACCCTCTAGCCAGGACAAGAGATTCTTTAATCTCGATTCGGCACTGTCCAGCCTCCTGAACATTCCAGAGGTCGATGACCCCATTGTGGGTCTAGCTTCCTCCTCCACACCTAGTGAGGCCCTAGAGGCCTTGAAACCTGAGGACAAGCGGGTGGAGCTGGCCCTACGCAGGGCACACCTATCCGACACCTGGGCCATTAAGTCAGCTACCGCCGCCTCTTTTTTCACTAGGTCCTCTATCCGCTGGCTACGTCAGCTCAGGGAACACGTCCCCGCTTCCAACCTGAGGGCGCACCAGGACATTGCGAAGCTAGTGGCTGCAGCCGAGTTCTCGGCTGACGCCACTTACCAGTCGGTGAAATTCTCTTCCAGGGCCATCACGTCCCACGTCACGGCTCGTCGCCTGCTATGGCTCAAACACTGGCAGGCGGACGTAAAGAATAAGGTCAAGCTGGCCACTGCCCCTATTACAGGAGACAAACTGTTTGGCCCGGCCCTCGAACCCCTGCTGGTCGAGGGTCGCAGTAAGAGGAAGTACTTGCCTTCCCTTTTTCGAAGATCGGAGACCAGGGGCTCCCAGCCCTTTCGGAGGAGCTTTCCCCGCCCTTTCTACCAACCCCCCTTCCCGCCCAGATTCCCCCGACCCCCTTCCTTCCGATCCCAGGATCGCACGGACTCGGGCGACAGAACTAGGCGCGGGGGTGGTTATAAGAGACCCTTTCGGGGACCGGGAGGAAGGCCCTACCGCAGAAGGTAGAGCCTCTTCCTCCCTCCCCATTGGTGGCCGCCTCAGCCACTTCGCCGCCCAATGGGATAAATCCACTTCCGATGCATGGGTTAGGGACACAATAAGGTTTGGTCTCGCCCTCGAGTTCAAATCCACTCCCCCTGATCGTTTTTTCCCATCCCCCTCCTCAGGGGATCCCACCAAACGTGCTCTAATGGATGCAGCCATCCATCACCTGCTTGATATCCAGGCCATTCAACCTGTCCCTCCGGCTCAGAGAGGAAAGGGATTTTACTCCCATCTCTTTGTGGTGCCCAAACATTCTGGGGGCTGGAGAGCCATCCTAGACCTGAAACGGCTCAACCGTCACCTTATCCAGCGCAAATTCAAAATGCACACCTTGCAATCAATTCTCGTAGGCACCAGGTGGGGAGACTGGCTGTCCTCCATAGATCTCTCTGAGGCATACCTCCATATTCCAATCAGGCCCTCTCATCACAAATTCCTTAGGTTCTATTACAATGGCCTTCACTATCAATACGTGGCCCTACCCTTTGGGCTGGCCTCGGCCCCCAGGTCCTTCACCAAGGTCCTGGCGGCCCACCTCAGGAGCATTCCCGTCCGCCTCCACTGCTACTTGGACGATATCCTTATTCTATCCCCGTCCAAGTCCCAGGCAGTCAGGGATACCAGGGTCACCCTCTCAGCCCTACGGGCACACGGGTTTCTAGGCAATTGGCAAAAGAGCCAACTTACCCCTTCCACCCGAATCAACCACTTAGGTGCCATAATTGATTCGGTCTCAGAGAGAGTTTTCCTCTCCCCAGAGAGGTTCCTTAGCATTCAAACCCTGGTCAAACAGATTAGACGTTCTAGGAGGGTGGCCTTGCTTGACCTCTCTAGATTGTTGGGCAAAATGGTGTCATGCATCTCTATTATTCCCTGGGCCCGCTTACACAGCAGGTCCCTCCAGTGGTTCCTGCTCCCGTTCCAAAGATCCGGAAGAAGCAACTCGAAGGTCAGAGTCAAGGTCCCTCCAAAGGTCCTCACGTCTCTTCTCTGGTGGACCAATCCCGCCATCAACAGAGGCCACCTCTTCGCGGAGCCTCAAAGACTCACCGTCACTACGGATGCAAGTCTATCCGGTTGGGGCGCTCATCTCAACTCACTCTCGGCACAAGGCAAATGGTCGCCGACCGAACAAAGATGCAGCATCAACTGGCTAGAGCTCCACGCCGTCCATCTGGCTCTGCGCAGCTTCCCCCAGATCCGCAGTCGTCACGTTCTCGTTCTCACAGACAACGTCACGGCCAAGGCCCATATCAACAGGCAAGGGGGCACCCAGTCCATTCAGCTGATGAAGGAAGCCGAGCGCCTTTGCCGCTGGGCAGAGGCCAACCTCCTATCACTAAAAGCCGAACACATCTCCGGAATAGACAATACTCAGGCGGACTGGCTGAGCAGGGCCACGGTGGACCAAGCAGAATGGCGACTCCATCCATCCCTATTCGAGGAAGCGTCCAGGATATTCGTCCTACCGCTGGTGGATCTATTCGCTTCCCCATCCAACACACAACTTCCACGGTTTTTCTCCCGGTATCCGTCTCACGGGTCGGAGAACCACAACGCTCTGCGCTGCCCATGGCCCCCAGGGCTCCTATATGCCTTCCCTCCGCTCCCGCTAGTGCCCAGAGTCATTCAGAAACTCATTCAGGAGAGGGCAGACCTTCTCCTGGTGGCTCCCTATTGGCCCAGGCGACCGTGGTTTGCGGACCTCCGCAACTTATCGGTAGCGTCCCCATGGCGGATCCCCCCGGACAGGGTCTCCCTCTCTCAGGGGCCCCTTCTACATCCAGAGCCTCAATGGCTCCAGTTAGCTGTCTGGAAGTTGAGCGGATCCGTCTGACCAGCGAGAACCTCTCAAGCCAAGTCATCGACACTATTTTGGCCGCCAGGCGACCTTCCACTACACGAATTTATGATGCCACTTGGAAGGGGTTCTGCAAGTGGTGTAGTGGGTCCCAGGTTGACCCTCTCTCTCCCTCCGTGGCTCAGATCCTGGAATTTCTTCAGGAAGGCCTTCGCAAGGGGCTTGCACCTAACACCCTGAGACGGCAAGTCTCTGCCCTCTCAACAGTGGTCTCCTGTGATAACTACGGCTCCCTTTCCCATCACCCCCGGGTTAGATCCTTCCTTAGGGGTGCCACCAACCTGTGCCCTCCCACTGTTCACAGGTTTCCCACATGGGACCTCAACAAGGTCCTAGTTTCTCTTACACGTCCTCCGTTTGAGCCTTTGAGGGATTCATCTCTTCAGTTCCTCACCTTTAAGGTAGTTTTTCTAGTAGCCATCACTTCTGCTCGTCGAGTGTTGGAATTAGCAGCTCTGTCAGTCAGGAGCGATCTATGCGTGTTCCATGCAGACCGGGTCGTCCTGCGTCCTGACCCCACTTTCCTACCCAAGGTTAACTCGCCCTTCCATAGATCACAGGAACTGGTTCTACCAAATTTTTGCCCTAGACCCTCCGGGAACAGGGAGGTTCTCTGGCACACCCTAGACGTTAGAAGGGCCTTGCGTATATATATTAAGCGCACTCAATCCTTATGAAGGTCGGAATCTCTTTTCCTATCCTTTCAACCCAAGACGCTAGGGCTCAAGGTTTCTCCTTCCACTATCAGCCGCTGGATCAGGGCGACCATTGCCAGGTGTTACCTTTCCCATTCTCTGCCTGCACCTGGCGGAATAACTGCCCATTCCACCAGGAGTGCAGCCACTTCGGCGGCCTGGGCCACACAAGCCCCCATCGCTGACATTTGTAGGGCAGCCACCTGGGCCTCTCCGTCCCCGTTTATCAGGCATTACAAGATAGATACGTATGCCTCAGCGGAGGCCTCCTTTGGCCGGCGGGTCTTACAGAGGGTTGTCAGTGATCCGGAGGGGCCTTCGGGCCAGACGGAGTCCCACCCATAGGACAGCCAAGCTTTGGTATGTCTCACAGTCTGGATGCTCCGAGCGGCTCGAGGGAGAATGGGGCGTTGGTTCTTACCTGATACGCCCCTTCTAGGCGAGCCGCGAGGAGCATCCAGCCCCACCCTAGTATCTCCGTCTGGTGGGGACTCTTGTTTCAGCCAAGGAGCCAATAGTAGATTAGAAAGGATCAATGACTTCTCTTCTCGTTATCGCAAAAAACTGGGGAGACGCTGCGCGATGCCACGTGGGAGGGGCGGAGCGTTTCCTCGTCTAAAGCTCAGCCTGAAAGAAGAGGACTCAGGAGCACATCCCACAGTCTGGATGCTCCTCGCGGCTCGCCTAGAAGGGGCGTATCAGGTAAGAACCAACGCCCCATTTCAGATCTGCCTCAGATTCATGTGATAATATCATGTAAATTAAAGCTCATTAAAATCAATGAGATTGAAGCATGTCTAAGTCTGGATTGAATTCCTTAAATCGAATTAGAGAAATTATTTTTTACATTAAATACGTTTGTTGTTTTCCAATAGCTTTACTTCTAAGACAAAAACTTTTTCCCCCCTCATAAGCACCCAATTGTGGCTTGCAGCTGAATGCTTCCAATTCAAAAGAGGAAAGTGACTCTCTTCCCTCACAATCTTCCAGGTCCTATCCAAAAAGGTAGATTTTTTCCCCCTTTCTATTAAGGAATGTGCATGCTTTGAAACATATTCAAAATATGAATATTGCATAAATACTCCTTTCTTGCTCATTAAAGTAGTTAGGTGTTTAGATGTTTAAACTGAAATGAAGTTTTTAATCATAAAAATATGGTATCCAGGACAAATATTTGTTTTTTAAATTAGAATTCAATGAAAATTCTTTTATGTTTTCCTTTCATTTCTAAACAAATACTTATGTGCTCATTTATGTATTTAATATATTGGATTTTAAAGTTGCCTTAGTCCAACACCCTGGGCAACTTTACATTGTTTAAAAGAATGTGAAATTTAAAAAGATATTATCTGAATAAAACCACCTAGATAAAATCCAGGAAAAAAACTTTCAGGGTCCATAAATACCCTAATCTGGGAATAGAGCAAAGTATTAAGAGACTTACAGAATATTCAAAGGGTGAGAGCCGTACAACCTTTCTATATATCTTGAGGAATGCTATTCCAGGGGGCAAATATGCAATTGTGCCAGATGTCCTCACACTTCTTATGTTTGAAGTTTTGAAGAATATACACACAAAAATAGCTGGCTGTATTTCATGATTGAACCAATGGATATATATCTTCACTATATGATTAGTGGTAAGGTTCATTGTGATATGTTAATTCAGAAAGTTGAATTATTGGAGTAAGCCATGAGTTAAGTTAATCATGCTAAGTGTATATAGTACAGACATACCTAATGATTCCTAACATATTGTGATTAGTTTTGACTGTGGCTTGTACCTAAAATAAGTTAGTCTGGGCAATTTGTTGCCTTCTGCCTATTGGTGAATTATAGATCACAATATCCTTTTCATTGTTTGATAGTTTTGGAACTGCTGAAGTTTAGAATTCAATAATATTTGGCAGCAATATACTACAGAGATTACTTTTTGTTGTAAAATGGGGGGGAGGGGAGAGAATGCCCAGTTTTGGGGAATTAATTTCACACCTGTCAACTATCAATTCCAAGCCCAAAGAGTGACTGGCAAGATGGTTTTAGTGAACCCTGCTTTATTTTATCCATCCATCCAATTTTTAACTGCTCATCTTTTTCAGATAGGTCTCCTTTAGGTCACTAACCTTCTTAATAGATTGAACAAGTCTAGCTTAACCCAGTTGGATATGAACATACAGAATATTATTTTTCTCCCCTCTCTCACCCTCACTTTTGGTGCTTTAGAGTTATGGGCAAGAAATCAAAGTGCACAATAAGCAGTGACACAGAAAATGAGCAGGAAGTTGCAGACCAAATAAAAAGTGAGTTACAGTTATTATTGATTTTATTATTTTCATAGTATCATTCCAATTTTACTTATTATGATAACATGTTTTGTTTTCCAGCTAAAGGGAAAAAAACAAATTTAAGAGCAAGGAAAAGAAAACTAGGTAATAATACTTGACCGTTCTGTTTCTTCTCTCCTGATTCCTTAGGAAAAAATCATCTGGTAATTTGGTAATACTAAGATACTTTTTAAAACTTTACTGACTATTGTTGTGGGATTGCAGAATAACAGAATCGGAAGGGATCTTGAAGTCTTCTAGTCTAAATTAGGTACGAAGGAAGAAATAAGTGACTTAAAATTGGATTAAATAGTGCTTATAGCCATCCTGAAGATCTTGAAATACTGCTTATTATAAAGAGATGGATATAAACAACTGGATTTGTTGAAATTAATTTAATTATTTAACCAATTAACTACTTTATTCATAGTTGCAAATCATGAGCTAGAACAAGTTTCTTTTTTACTTCAGCTCTGATTCTGCATGCTCAGTCAAAGGAGTTAACCACAGTTTATTTATTTCTTCCAGTTTTCATTTGTACTCCTATATCTGACTGCTTTTAGCAAAATGTACAAGATGTCCTTTGCCTTCTTCCATCTTATATATAGTGATTTGGGGGCCTCATTGCTTGGGGATAAGGATCCAGGCAGACACTGCAGCATACAGCTGGGCTTCTTGTAACAATGGCTAATTGATCATTAGCCTGAATCATGGATGGATCTATTGTATGTGTTACTATTTTAACTTTTTCATCAACTATGATAAAAGGAAGTCATGACTTCGTGCAATGTATAAATTGAGATATTAATGTTACACCAAAGCTGTCTATATAAATGATTTTTTATTTTAAATTTACATTATCTTTACATGTTTCTTTTGTTAAAGACTAAGCAAAAAACTTCAAATATGAAAACTAAATTTGTAGTTAGTATATAGCGCAGAATGAATAGTTGCATTTTATATTTCTTAAGAATTCCAATAGGTAAGTATAAAACAAGTATCAAAAGGATTGTAGATGATATGCTTGGAGAAGGAATATATTCTTACTAGTATGTATTTATTCTTTAACTGAGTAACACTAAATGGACTGTGTGTGTGTGTGTGTGTGTGTGTATACACACACACTGTAAATGCCATAGCATATTCAAGTTGATAATTGTGTGTTTTCCTTCTCTCCAAGATGATGTTCCTGTACAGCCAAAGAAAAATGAAGTTGATAATGTTAGAGGAACGCTGATCATTTGTCCTGTTTCTGTCCTAAGTAACTGGATTGTAAGTTTATAGTTTACATAGTTTGTATTTCCTAATGTTTATAGGTTGCAACTCTTAAACGAATGAGGATTTTTCTACATTCAATTAAGTAAAATACTGTTTTTTTCTTTAAATTCTTTTTCAACCCGAATATTGCTTTGGCAACATAATGTATGTAGTACAGTCTCTTGTGTTGTACCATAAATTATACCAGTTCTTGGAGCAATTTTGGGGGAAGAATGGAGTGTAGTGAGTAACAAATCAATGAAAAAAGGACTTTGAGCTTCATAAAAGGTCTTTCTGCTAGTGCAAAATGTAGAGACCCAGTGAAATAATGACCAGAGTATATATGACTCATATATCTGTATCGGGCTGTTGGGTAACAATTTATTTATTCCCTTATAATTTGGTATATAGCCTTTTTAAACACTTCTGTTTCAACATATATCTGCACCTGCCTGTTGGGTAACAAATTATTCCATTATAAATTGATATACAGTCTTTTTAAGCACTTCTGTTAACAACTCCAACCAGTGGACAAATTATTGGAAAGATGAATAGCTCATATTCACATAGACTATCTTGATCAGAGTGTAAGATTCGACTTCATTGAGGACCACATTAGGGTTGTGTTTGACTTCAGGGGGCCAGGGTGGCCATGCCCAGCTTGTTACTCCTTGACCTATAATAGTCAGACTCAGCATCCTAAGAACTTTGAATTACATATAAAAAAGGCAGGATAAGATGATGATGATGATGCAATTTCTACTTTCACCAAAGCAACTAAAGCTCTTAATCCCTATACTTGAAAGAAGGGCACATCATGTTTAATTTTCTTCAGTACAAGGCCTGAGGGGATAATCACAAATGTGATATATTAAAACTAATATAAATGCATTCCTTTGGAATCATAACTGAAGAAACAACTGACAGCAAATAAATCGGTGTTAGATGAATAATTATCCCTGTATAACCTATTTTTTTGTACTTGGAAACTTAATATACCAAAGATTAGAGCAAAATTTGCAGGCTATAAAATTTATGGCAGTCAATTTTTACTTTTTGGTCAATTCCCATTTTAGGACCAACTTGAACAACATGTTGATCCAAATATTCAGTTGAATACTTATGTTTACTATGGCTCGGAACGGAACAAAGATCTGAAAGTACTTTCCAAGCAGGATATTGTCTTAACAACATACAATGTTTTAGCTACTGACTATGGGGTGAGTATATTGGAAAATTCCAAGAGTTTTTCCTTTAGAAAAGAGGAGTAATGTAACATTCATACAAATTAGACTTTTGCTTGTGCTGAATTTAGTTTCGTACTTTTTAAAATCACGACAGTGCTACTTTAGTTTCAGAGTGCTACTAAATATATTAGTATGGCCACTTAATTCATACACTTATTCCACTTTGTAAAATCATAAATATCCTTCTGATAAAATTGTCAAAGTTTCTTCTCTCTGTTTTAAATAAGACCTCATCCCCAAATGCTTGTTCAACATTTTATTTAGTTCAGGTACCAAAATAGCCAATACATTTTTCCCTCTTCCACTTTGTAAAATCATAAATACTCTTCTGATGAAGTTGTCAAAAATAAAAAAAAATATTTCTTGTCTTTGTGTGTTTTTTAATAACAGCAAGAACAACAAAAAGCTCACCCCCAAATGCTTGTTCAACATTTTATTTATTTCAAATACTAAAATGGCTAAAATGTATTTTTACAGACCAGAGATAACAGTCCTTTACATAAATTAAAATGGCTGAGAATTGTGTTGGATGAAGGTCATACAATACGAAATCCAAATGCTCAACAGACAAAAGCTGTTTTAGATCTGAATGCACAAAGAAGATGGATCTTGACAGGTATTTATGCTGTAGATTCAAAATTGCAGTATATACCAGGTTGGGAACCATTGTCTAAACAGACGGTTGCATCCTCCTAACCATTGTTCATTGTTCTTCTCTTTGAGAATATGAAGTGCCATACATTTATACAAATCTGAGGAATGATAAGATGCAGAAGTTCAGTTCAGTCTTGTACAAGTGGTCCTCAACTTTTACAATTTGTTCAGCAATTATTTTAAATTACAATAGGAATAAACAAAAGGACTTGTTCAAGTGTCCAAAGTAATGACTGTTACAAACCCACCCACCCCAATCATGTGATAACATTTCAGGCACTTGGAAAGCACCTGTACCTCTCCCCATTTGCCTATCTGCCACGCCCTTGACTTCAGCCACCCAGTGCCCCACTAATTCACAGAAAGCTGCTGTACCTGAGAAGCCTCATCACCTACCCAGCCCACCAGAGTAAGCAAGGCTGCTATGCTTCAGCAAGACAGCCTCATTCTCCCACCTGCTCACCAAGCTCACTTGGCCATCTAATCTTGCATTTTTTTTGGAAGCATCCTTCTCTATAGGAGAAAGGGTCAGACAATGGTGTGAGGCAGCCTCAGTAAGAAGGCTATGCTCGCATTACCTGGTCACTGAGTGAGGAGTGGTGTATGAGATACTTTTTTTTTTGCCAAACACTTATTTTACCTAAACTGAGTAAGCATGATGCACAGCATATTTTTTTCTGTTCTTGTTTTAGGCACACCTATTCAGAATTCTTTAAAGGACTTGTGGTCTCTCCTTTCCTTCTTAAAGTTGAAGCCTTTTACAGACAGATTGTGGTGGCAGAGAACAATCCAGCGGCCTGTCACTATGGGAGATGAAAGAGGGCTTAAGTATAAACTACATCTAATATATTCTAGATATTCTATAAATATTAGCACAATACATTTATAAGTTAATACTGTTAGCATTTAAAATATTCTTTAAAAATACCTTTAAGTGTTAAAATCTTCAGGTTTAGATAACATTTAGAAAATATGCAACTGTGTATAACATATATTGTTTTGTGAATATTTCCATATTTATGTCTGCTATTATAGGTTTTGTGAATGTTTCCATATTTTCTGTATGATATGATTGATTATTATATGTTGTTTGAATATTTCCATATTTTCCTAGGCGTTTACAATCTCTAATTAAGAGCATTACTCTTCGAAGAACTAAAACAAGCAAAGTTAATGGGAAGCCAGTTTTGAAGCTCCCAGAACGTAAAGTATTTATTCAGCATATTACACTTACAGATGAAGAGAATGCCATCTATCACTCTGTGAAAAACGAGACTAAAGCTGCTATAAGCAGGTAAACAGTGTGGGCTGTTAAATGGAAAAAATATATATTTCACTACCCATATTAAATTCTGATTTATATAAAGAAGTGGATTTTATCAAGAGGAAATCTTTTTGGAGAAAACGTTGGTAATATGACTAATAAATGACCATATTAAAGTAAACTATGAAGACTATAGAAGCATTCATTTATTCTAATCAATTGTTGCACAGTTGTAATTTTATACAACTTTTCTCTAAATGTGATAGCAATTTTAGCCAGGCAATTCTTAATAGGATATTGCAATGGCTGTAAGTGTGAAAAACAGTCTTAAGTCATTTTTTTCCAGTGCTGTTGTAATGTCAAAACAGTCACTACAGAAACTGTTTTTGGTTGAGGACTATCTGTATTGTATTCTTTAATTAGGCTGTGATTCATTGGTTCCAGTGGTGTATTAACCATTAAGCAGACTAAGCACATGCTTAGGGCACCACAAAAACTTTTATGTAGCCTAAGCTTGGCTTCTTTTGTACAGTATGTACAAAGGAGGGGGGCACCAAGATTTGTCAGTGCTTAGGGCACCAGTTAGCCTTAATCCGCCACTGATTGGTTCAATTTTATAATCTTTTTTTCCTGCTAAATGGTTTGCATATGCCCATGTGTTTTGTTGGTGGATGTCAAAACAAAATTGTAAGCTCTATTAAGTATTATGTTATGCATCTATTATATTATGTGCTATCTGTGGTGTTCATTATGAAAGATGAAGCAAAATGGAATCTAAAAAATGAAGCATAATTTATATAGAGTGACCTAGATTGTACTCAGTAATAAAACCAAACATTTCTTAATGTACAGGCTTTGTTTTAAGACATGAGAGCTGGTGAGAAAACAATAATGCTTGTTTTACTGGATCAAAATTATTTCATTGGACTAGAATTTTGCAAATAATTGCAATAATTTTGATCCAGTAAATAGAATCTGCAAAAATTCTATTATAACACCTTTGTTTTACTATCAAAATTATTCCTTAGGTATTTTGCTGAGGGAAGCGTTTTGGCCCACTATGCAGATGTTCTTGGTGCTTTGCTCAGATTGAGACAATTGTGCTGTCACCCATCTCTCTGCTCCAGTGTCTCTCAATCCAGTTCTCTAGAGAGTGAGTACATTTTAACAATTCAGAAGACATGTAACCTGATTTTTTTTTATTAGCTGTTATATAATAGAGTGGTACTTTGTAACTGCATATGTATCAAGGCTGTGCATTGTTTCAGTTCAGAAGAGGAAGCATTGTGATTTGAGAATCAGATAACAAATACTGACAAATACTGAATTCCAAAAGATCTTTTTTGGAATTTAATCTGAAGCATTGCACAGTCCTAATATATACATAGCTTACAAGCTCTGTCTGCTGTATTTCTTTTTAATGTGTAGGTACTTCTGAAGAATTCCGTGACATATTAATACAGAAGATGAAGTTAGTTCTAAGCTCTGGATCAGATGAAGAATGTGCTATTTGCTTGGATTCGCTGGCTACTCCGATAATAACACACTGTGCCCATGTGTTCTGTAAGACCTGCATTTGTGAAGTCATCCAAAGAGAAAAGGCAAGTTATCACCATCAGTCACTTGCACAACTTATTTCAGTGTGATGTGCATTAGTCCAAGATAAGTAGACAGTACTTAGGACTTTTATTTTCTTCTGCTCACACTAATGTGAATGTTCTCTAGTGAGTGTCCTATGGTTGGGGTTCCCAATCTGCTGACTGGTGCCGGTCTGTGGACTGTTGGGAACTGAGCCGCTCAAGCGGCAGGCAAGCACACGAAGCACAGGATTAGGTTGCCCACGGAAACTATCCCTGCTGCCATTGCCGGTCTGTGGAGCCTGAAAGGTTCGGGACTGCTGTTCTATGCTACTTTCACACTGAACTTAATATATAATTTTTTGTCATTTTTATATGTAATATTTAAAGTTATATAAGTTAAACTAATGATGTATCAGCTGATTCTAAATGTTATTTAGATGATTTATCTACAGCTCTAATTATAAACTATTTTAAACATATTTCTGTCTGTACAGTTCATCAATTACTTGAGAATTTGAAAACAAAATTGCTATTAGATCAACTACTAAGTTTCTGCATGAACAAATTTTAAAGCAGTGCAACTATATCTTGTCAGCCAGCTAAACTTTCTTGGAGGGAAAAAGGGTTGTTATAACTCCATACTTTAGGTTAAAAGTTCATATAATCTCTTGGAATAATTGTCTCCTGAGGCAGCACAAATATATATTGGGTTTACTCTTTCTAGTCTTAATACACATGTTTACTTTAAACTTTGGGGGGTGGGAATTATTTGAAACTCTGGCTATATGTAGATATTAATTGCACTCATAAATATACAAGGAGAGAGAAAGATTGAGGCTGTGCTTCACAATTCTGTTGCTAATCCTTAGGATGTTTTCCTGCATGTGTAATAAGGAAGATGCAGGGGAATCTAGCCATAGGAAAAAATTCCTCCCTGCAAAAATTATCCCTTAATATTGGGGGTGGGGGAATGAGCACGGGAAGGAAAAATAGGCATATCCTCAATCTTGTCACCCACTTAAGTACACCTAGAAGAGTGCCGTAATAGGATATACATGTTCTTACAGAGATTATAGATACAGGCTTTTCATACCCTAAAGCAAGGGTAATTTTTTTCAGGCCTAATATAGCTCAAAGTTGTATTTATTTAATTAAAATCATTCTAAACCTTTTTAAGAATGTAGCCATTTTTTATATTTTAGGGTTTTTTTTTGTTTTAACTCATATTGGGAAGCATTAAATTTTTTAGAAAGTGGTAGGTTGAAAAATAGCCACGAATGCCACATTTTTTACTATTATTTGAAGTTTCTGTTTCAGTGGGGTAACATTAATTCCAGGTAAAATTAGTTTTTCAACTTAATTATGCATTCTTTGGAGCAAATTACATGTTAAAATATTTAAGAAATGTGGGTATGCAAACAATTCTTAAACAATCATTGCTTCCAATTGTATGCATTTTTACAATAAATAGTTTTGTTTTTCAGGAATATGCAAGATGTCCTCTTTGTAGAAATAAAGTTTCATCAGAACATTTAATAGAATGCCATTTGGAAGAAACTCATGATGAAAAACATACTAAACAGCAATGGGCATCTAGTTCAAAGGTAAATCTTACATTTTATTTATTTGTGTGTGTGTGTGTGTGTCTGCCTCACAAAAAGTATGCTGAAGTACATCAAACTATTGCATTTCAAATAGTACATTTGCATAAATTATTTAGAAACTGGATGTTTTGAATTCAGTCAGTTAAATGGGTATTTCAAGATATTTTCCTCTGAGCAATGGTTAAAGAGGCAGCTGGGGACTGCATTTACGATGGGGGAGGAACCTTTCAATGTTGGAGCAAATTTAAACTGTCTTGTAGATATGTTTTTTTTTTAAATGCTAACTTAAATGATCTTTCTCAGTGACCATAAACAGTTCCAAACTGATGCAGTAGAACTCTGCTGCATAAGCAAGTTGCTATTCAGTGTGGCACAAAGGTTGCTGGCATTGATTCAGACAGTCTTGCCAATTTCCTGCCTTTGCCTTGTTGTTACTTTAACTATTCTGGTATTACAGTTGTGAACTTGTTTTTAGTTGCAGCCAGTCTGACTAGAACTTTAATGTCTGGATTCTCTTGACTGAAATTTAGTTAAAATTCAAAAGAGACAATCAGTGATGTGTCAATTAATGATTAATCATGATGTACAACAGATTGTTTGGAATAGGTCATACTCAAAAGAAAATATATGTGTTTAATGTGATTTGATCAAAATGTAGCTGTTCCAACAGAGTGGTTCAGGAGTTAAGCATAAGAATGAGAAAAACACCATAGACATTGGCAACGGTAGCTTAAAATGGTGGGAGGGGGAAGAGGAGGAAAGATACTAGGAAGATATAAAGAGGGTGGGAAAGAGAGAGGTGTTAGGATATTTGGTATGGCAACAATCTAGAAGAGGGAGGGAAGGTACTGGGAAAATAATGGTAAGTACCAGTAGTTAGTATAAGCCATATTGGGATGCTGTAGTTATGTATGCAGAATGACTGGGATTTTTGGAGTGTTCAGTCTTCCTTAATATCAACCATGAAATAAAAACAGCAGTATTCCTTAGAAAATGCTATGAAAACTTTCAAAGATTTGCAGTGGCTTGTCTGCGTATATTTCTAAGTTAAGGGGAGGAGTTGGATTTTTGTATTAGTTTAAATGGCACCTTCCAACTTTGTGATAAGACATCTGAATAAAAATATGTAAAGTTGCCTGATTCTGTTACACAATTATTACTTTTCAAAAACCATTCTATATAGCATTAATATATGAATAAATTATTTCTCAGGTTTAAGAATTTAGATCTCTGAATTATAACTTTCTATAAAAGAAACTAGTTTTCTCTCCAGACTTCAAATCATTTCAATATTAATTTGGGAAATCTAATTTTCTGTTATTTGACAAGGATATTCAGAAGTAGAAAATGAAATCACATTAGGCTGACAAATAAGACAGAAGATGTGCATGGACTTCATGGATAATGAAAAAACAAAAAAATTAAAAAAAATATTTTGTCTTTCAGGTCAATGCATTGATGCATGCTTTGATTGAGCTAAGAAAACAAAATCCAGCTATTAAGAGTTTAATTGTTTCACAGTTCACAAAATTTCTGTCTGTAATAGAAACTCCACTAAAGTAAGTAAGATGTGTTCTTTAATAAAATTATCCAAGAATAATTTAATTTTTTAAAAAATTAAAAAACCTTGCCCAGAGTCACTGGCAGTTGGGCAGCATGTGTATTTTAATAATAATAAAATATGACTTAGAAAAAACTTTAAAATGAAAACATTCTAAGGATCAGAATATAAATAAACTGACTCTTGTGTAACATGCTGCTCTTGTTTCCCAGGGAATCTGGATTTGTCTTCGTCCGTTTTGATGGGTCTATGAACCAGAAACAAAGAGTAGAAGCAATTCAGCAGTTCCAAAACAGTGAAACTGGGTCTCCAACTGTAATGTTGTTATCATTGAAAGCGGGTGGAGTTGGTTTGAATCTGACAGCAGCTTCCCGGGTATTTTTAATGGATCCTGTAAGTATAAAATCCTTGCTCAATGAATTTGACATTTAATATTCCATACAACTTATTTAGACACTTAAACAGGAATGAAGAAATTCTTTGCAGGCTACTTCTAGTATTGGGGAGGAGGGAGCAACTTCAATTTGGCTGTGTTAGGATTAAAACCCGAATTATTATCTATTATCATGGAAATGGAATGTTTGTCCCTGCCCCCACCCAATAATGATAATTACTTGAAATTGAAATGCAAGAAGATGTAATATACATAAGAATAGGCATTGTGTTTTATCTATAAAACATAAAAAGTATATGTCAAGCCCTAAATTGACATGTGTAGCCATTTTAGTTAGGCGTAGTATATATTCTTTTTCTTATTTTCTCTGGCAGTCATGGGGGAAGGGTTTCCGGCTTGCCACATTCCTAAGGGGAGAGGTGTGGAGATAGAGTTGTTTAGGCTAGGTGATTCTTCCCGTGGGAAAATGAGCTGTCAGTGCTCAGGACCCTTGAGGTGGAGATTTATGACACCAAGCAACGTTGAATTACTTCTCTTGGAGAATGTGACTTTTGGGGGTTGTTTCTAACTTCTAATACTGTGGGATAATTCTGGGTTGTGTCAGATCCGGAATTACTACGGACTTTGCAAATTTGATGCTTTCCTAAATAAAAGAAATTGTCTCAGAAGATGGACTTTGTTCTTTTCTTTTAAATGGATTTAATCACTTGGAAACCTGACAATATATACATTTAAAAAAAAGTTTCTGAGGAAGAAATGACTAAAAGTTTAGAAGTGGAACCAACAATCACAACAAATGAAACCTGCAAATAGACTGTCTCTTCAGAATTCCTTTCTGGACAAGGAGTGCTCCAGATAACTGCTCCTTACAAGGAGACAGCAAGACAGAAATCCTGTTGGTTTTGACCAGGACAAGGAGATGAGGTGAAACCATGGTTGGCACTTTTAAAACAACACTGGGTTCACATACTTCTTTTCTAATCACTTTTTGAAAATTGCTTATTAACTGCTTTTTAGCTATTAAGAACCTTTGGATTGACAAGTCTGAAAACATCAATACTTAAAGAAGCTTTAAATATAAGGTTAAGGACTTAAAACATCTGTGTGTGTGTGAGATAAATGGCAAAAGGGTGATTAGAACTTCAATTTTAGAAAGTTACCAATGGATTAAGGGTCCAGATGGATTTGAACAATTCTGTTGGAATTAATCATTTTTTGAATTCTTTTTTTTTAAGTGATAGGATGGGATTTTGGGGTATGGTCAATAGAGGGAACCAGATGAATGAAAGGTTACAATTAAAGGAGAAGAACACTTAAATGCAGAATAAACAATTTTTTTTATCATTGGACATATTGGAAGTTAATTTTAAGAGAGTCTGTCTCTATATATAATGCTTAAAATGTCTTATAGAAGATGAAGTTCTGCCTAACAAGATTGAGACTTATCTGAACCTAGATTTAAAATATAAGCAGAGGAATGACAGAGAAAAATGCAATACTGAACATACAAAAGAAATCTGCTGATGCCTTAAATAATTGAAAGGGATATACAAAGAACAAACTAAGAGAGTGACCTGTGGATAATTTTCCTATATTGGATTTACAGAAGAGGCTGGTTAAAGCCTTGAATAATTTTTTTGAGCGCGTGCACACACACACAAATATCAATGAAAAGAATCACATTCTAACACTATTTGAAAAGATTAAATGTCAAGATTGTTAAAAAGGAAGAAATATAATATGGTTTATTTGATCAGGGATAAATTAGATATGTTATAATCTCTGATAATCCTCTGGTAAATTCCAAGAGTTTTACTATCACGAGTAAACTTTGAGATTTTAAGGGTTTTTTATGGCATATGATATGGTTGTTTATGATATGGGAAGAAGAGATCATTTGTTGCATTTTAAGAGGTGGTAACTTACTGAAATTGTTTATACTTATTGTGATATAGTGGGAAGTCATTTATTTAAATTCAGTAATTTATTTTTTTCCTTTTTTTCTTTTCTGTGCCTTTTTCTTGTTAGTTTGTATTAGGTTTTATTATTACAGTTGTAATTTTAAATAAAAATACTGTGAAATTTCTAACATTACTCTAAAATAAGATGTAAATTTAGTTTGTCAGGGCCAAGTAAGTACTGTGGAAATTTAGATATGAATACATATTTCTTGGTGTACAATTTAGGCTTGGAATCCTGCTGCGGAGGATCAGTGCTTTGACAGATGTCATAGACTTGGGCAGAAACAGGATGTTATCATCACCAAGGTGAGCTGATCATTATTTTAACAATCTGCACCTCCAAAAATAACATGGTTGCTCTTTTGAAAACAATATTTTTTCAGTAACTTCTAGCATTGGTTTAATTGCTACTTTGTAGGATAATACATCTATATTTTATAATTCTTTTTCAAGTGCCTTGAGATAAGCTTTGTTATTTTTGTTTGTTTTGCTTTACTTTAAAAAAATTATTTTGCTTTACCTTTTAAAAAAATTGTTCTAGTTTATTGTAAAGAATTCTGTTGAAGAAAATATGCTTAAGATCCAGAACAAGAAGAGAGAACTTGCAGCTGGAGCCTTTGGAACCAAAAAATCTTCTACTGGTGAAACAAAAATGAATGAAATCAGGACTCTGATGGATATGTAATTTAAAATATTGGAACAAATTCAGCTTTAAAAATAAGTTGATGTTATATGTTCAGACAACTTAATATTGGAAAATAATCTTTCTAATAACTGCAAGGTATTTTTGCAAATAGCAAATAAGGAATCATTAATATACGTACTCATTAGTATACGTACTCATATTGGGCAAATGGTCCAGAGAAGTAACAAACTTTAGTGTAGTAAACTCAAGTCTATATGTTCAGTTTCTATATTAAGAGCAATGCTTAATTACAGTTGAATGTATACAATATTTTGTTAAATGATGTTTTAGATATTTTTTTATGTGAACACCTGAGTTGTATTTTTTTTTTTTTGGCTTGGATTGTATCTACATTTGTTGCAAGTTAACTTGTAACTTATGTAAGTTTTGCACACTGGAGTTAATGTTACTATGTATTATGTTTTGTATTCACTGTATATTAGCAACTAAATAGAATAAGTTTTACAAATGTATATTGGAAAAAAATGAAGAAAAGTGCATATGCCAGCAATGGCATTCCTGTCAGTTTTGTCCCATGTTTTCCCGTTAGAAGATCTGAATAGGGATTCAAAATGTGTTCAAATGAATGCACTTATGTAAAATATCAGGCCTATAAACTTCCTTTATGCCTGCATTTGGTTTGTGTTTATTGAAAAATAAGAAATCGTTTAAACTGTTTTTCTGCTATCAATAGTAATGTAAAACTATTGTGTATTTCTAGTTTGATTTCTAGGCAAATAAAATTTTTATCAAGACTTTGGACTGCTGACTAGATACTTTTTTTTTTTTTTTGTTATTTCTGGGCATCTTAGACCTTAGGGTTATTCAGGCTTTTGAAATTGGTGACTTTACTAGAAATAAGAAAGATTTAAAATTCCCTGCATGCCACCATTCATGTGTATAGAATTTGGAAGACATAAGTTTTCTTCTACCTCTGGATTTTATCTACACAGTTGAAAAGTCTTGACACTTCAAAATCCCAGCTGGTATACAAAATTTCCAAGGAGAAAAGGGCTGTCTATGGACACTAATTAAAGTGACTTGACTGAATGGGCAGCATCTCATTGCAGTATTGCAAGCCCTACTGCAATTTTGGCAGATCGAATCCTACCAGGGTCAAGGTTGACTTAGCCCTCCATCCTTCCGAGATGGGTAAAATGAGGACCCAAATTGTTGGGGGGCAATATGCTGACTCTGCAAACCGCTTTGAGAGGGCTGTAAAGCATTAGAAAGCAGTATATAAGTCTAGATGCTATTGCTATCTCACTTAACTCATCTCTGGAATGCCCATTTTCATATGCTTGAAGACACCAATGTTTGCATCTCTAAAAAAAAAATTCCCCAAAATGAATAGCAAGGCACAATATTCTTTTAACCTTAACATCTGTGCAGGATACTTTCCCTCCAAAATAGTAAACTTAGTAAAACTTCAAAACAATGGTATGTGAGGGACCGTCTCTTGCTGGCCTCATCTCCCCGACCCATTAGAGCAGGGAGGCAGTGTTGCGAGTCTAGAGAGATACATCTGGCAGGATCTAGGAGAAGGGCCTTCTCTGGGTGACTCCTGGAACATTCCCGCACACATTAGACTGCCCCCCCCCCACTCTAACACTCTTGGAAGGTGCTGAAGACGTTCTGTCAGCGGGCCTGGGGAACCTAGAGCAGGATGGAGTCCATTAAATAGTTTGTATGAATGTGTGTTGTTGGGTGTGTGTTATTTTACTAATTTATTTTTGTTTTCCATGGTTTTTATATCTGTGTAACCCACCTTGAATCACCATGTGTGAGCAGGCAGCAATATAAATTTTCTAAAATAAAATAAAACCCAGCAATTCCATCTTTAGTCAGCGTCTTTGATAGGACTAAACATACTCAGCTTTCATTGGATTGTACTTTTATTTTTAAAATGCTCTTCCCTTTCAAATACTTCAAAAAATTCCCAGAATTTATGCTGCTTATCTCTTAGAGGCAGGATACTTTGGCTATTGGAATTTGGAAAATAGAAAATAATTGGTAATTGGTTATATTATTCTTATAATGAAAATAAACAAATTTCACCTAATTTAGTAACTTGCCTTTGTTTTCCTCCAGCTTATAAGATAGGAAGGACAAGTTTCCCATCTAGAGGTTTACTATTGTTCTACTCATGCATCTTGCATGTACGATTGATGGAATACTATTCAATAATATCAATATTTCCTATTAAATCATCATTTTGTGGAGCAGAGGTTTTAGCCAATCAAAAGTATTGTTTAATCTTCTGTCAAGCATTCTAATTACTGAGGATAATAATTGACTGACGGTTGTCACTATGTTTTAAAGTTAACGTGGATACACTTAAAAAGTGTGTAGAACAGTCCATCCTGTAGAATCAGAACTTCTGACACCATCTTCTGACACCATCTTCTGCTCTTTTTATTTCCTTCCCATCTCCAAAGTGTCTTCCAGGTGAGCTTTCAATTAATGTATACATCTGTGGCCTTTAAATAGAACACACATCAATGGAAAGCAAACTTACACCAGATCAACTTTAAAGAAAATTCTCAGTTGTATTGATTTGAAAAGTGTGTTGACACAGATTACAAATGCTAAGTAAGAGACTTCAGAGGGTCACAGATTTTATTGCCACTTGATGGGTTGACAACTTTCAACAATGTTTTTATTTTGTACTTTGCCATTACAGTTCACAGATTTACTTGTCTCAGTCATACAGAGAACCTGAACAAAAGCATTTGCCATGCTGTAGTTTTGTGCATAGAAAACTGGTCAGAAATGGCTGGAACAGGCAAAAAGGTAACTTTACAGTTATCAAGTTGCATATACATATGCTAGTATTATAAGGCTCTTCTGTTATACCTGCCTGAATCTCTAGCCATTATTTCTTTGTAGCAAGCAGAACATATTGGTGTGCATGTGTGAAAGGAAGGAGAGGTAATGCACAGTCTTTTAGGTCTGAGTAGTATGTTTCAGGCCAATGCGGTATCCTTTTCTCAGGTTCTTTGCAGGCATATTCGTGAGTTTTTGAGCAAAAGAAAAAGATCTGACTGTTGGACACATGATTGGCACACGAATTCATACTTAAAACAGCTTTTGCTCAGTTCTTACCTGCAGTATTTCCAAAAGCCTTCAGTTCAGCACCGGCAACGCTTCTGGCAAACTTAACTGACCCTAGCTGACTTTTCTAGTTGCTACAGCTCTGAAACAAGTCCTTGTATTGCTGATATTTGGGGGAGCAAATACAAGTGCTTTTACTGGAGGTAGGTGTCAAGTTTTTTCTTGATGTTGTCAAAGCTGTCTGCTCCCATGTAGTCAGCCTGACCTTGCTCCCATTTTTCTTTACGTTCTTCTGAGGACATAGCTGGTGGTGATGGTGGTGAATGTGGCATTTCTGCTGCTGAAAGTGACAGGTGGGAGACTGCCTCTGTTACCTCTTCCTAAAAAGAAATGAAGGATAAGTGGGAGAAGCACAATTACACACTACAAAAAGGTATAAGCATAAAGTAACTAAGCAGAAAGTAAGAAAACCAATGAGATCCCATGCAAAGCAGCAAGCACCATTTATGCAATTTAAAGAGCTATGAATACATAAATAAAAAGAGAATCTGGGTCAATGAAATAGCAGACAGGTAGTTATGCTTAAGTTCTTCATACCTCTCTACAGAAGCCACAAGAGAAAGCCAGTGTATAGACCAAGCCCGACAGCTGCAAATAGTTCATTAGAAAGTTGAAATACAGACAACAGAAAGCATAGCTCAAGAATAGATCAGTATGTTTAGTCACAGGGCTAAGAATATAATTATTGTTTTCTGTATATCAAGCCCAAGTAATCAATATTGCATGATTAGTCTGAATGCAGAAGAAGGCAGAACCAAGTTATTTTAAATGACAAGATATGTAAAAACATCAGTAAAAAAACCCACAAATTTTGTAGGTGCACTATTGTAAAATTCTAACACAAATTTTAAGACAGTTGGCACAATACCACCCTTCATTCACCCTCAATTTATCAGAGACAGCAGTTCATAACAGAGAGGAGACATGCCCCTACAGGCATCTTCATGGTCTGTTTACTGAATGCAATTTACTAGAAATTTTCTCTTAAGACAAATAACTACGATGCCAAGCATAGTGCAGGATATGAAACCCTGAGAGGCCTAAGTGCATATTCCAATCTGAATCAACATTTAATGAGAATTAATAGAACTCTGTCGTTTAAAGTTCTTTAAAAATGCAAGAGTTAAATGGTGCCTGCTGGAATTTAACAGTGCTCTAGGATATGCTTAATCTGTGAAAAAATGTAGATGAATCATGAATGTTTCAAGGAAATTCTTCAAACCAGCTGCATAGATTTACAAAGTATGCAAAGCCATTGTTAAAAAAATATCAAACTTTCAGATTCCTTGTAGACTTCTTCAAAGTTCTGTCGGGTGGGGTAGTTAGAATGATGGGAAAGATGGTAGTGGGAAGTGCAGAATACCACTGGTATTGATGAGTCTGAACTTGCACAAAATGTTTGACCCTATTTTAATGTATATACTTCCTGTCCTGAAGTGCCTTGAAAATTCATTTGGCATTCTTTTCTTCATATTGTAGCACTGAAATGTGGTATATGCTACATTTATAATGGAAGATACAATCTTACATGGATGGATGATCAAGATAGGAAAAATATCTTTCTGTCTGCATTATTTCTTTGCTCTATAACATTTCCTATGAGATCTGGAAGAAATAGCAGATTTTAGGGGCACGTCGGCAGCGTTTCAAAGAAGTCATTGTTAACTATATTTAGGATGATAGTGAAGCATGATTTGACTGATTCAGGAGATAAGGGAGTTGTAAATTTATTTAAGAGATTTCTTTTCCCTTGAACACTGACCTCTGAAATCTATAACCTCCATTCCTGCTCAAACTTTCTCTGTGGTAGGATAAAGACTTCTTATGTTCCCATTCTCCAAACACTTGTTTTAACAATCCGGTTAGTAAAGCCATAAATCCAGGGCTGTCCATGTTTGTTTTGGCTACCCCATAGCTCCTTAAGAAAAGTCTAGAACTATTATTTGGTCATCTAATAAGAAGCATACCAATGTGCTGCATTTATGGGGAGCAGACAAAATGTTGCAAACTTATGACTAGTCAGCTCTCTAGCTAATGCACAGTTGCAAGCTGTTTTTGTAGCAAACATGCTAGCTTCAAATGAACTCAATTCCAAGCCAAAAAAGAAATATTTTCTACATCCCACATTAAAGTAGAGAATGTCCATTAATGAGACATACCGCCTTTACACCAGTAGCTGTATCTTTGATTACACCATGCTGCTGTAATAATGGTAAGATATTTGTGACAAAAGTGTCCCACCACATATTGAGGAACTCTGGATGAATCATTGTGGGATCTTGAGTGTCTTCTTTGACACTTTTTGCTTTGGAGTCATACGTATAATTCCATGGTTTCACTCTGCCCAGAAAGTGCACAACTTTAGCATTCATCCCAAACCTGTCAAAAGAAGAGGTCACTTTTATATGTAGGTAAAGTCATAACACCTTAATATAGGAGTGCATGGATATAGCTTGAAAGAATAATTGCTTAATAATTGTTTAAAGTTAAATACAATTAAGCTCAATATTTCGTATGGATCTGAATTCTTATGTCTATCAGAAAAACACCTTTACTGGCTTTATCACAGCCAGACCTGGTGATGATGCACAAGGACTGCAGGGAAGTAATTAAAATCAGTTTACATCAATTTGCAGAATTA